CATATCCTTAACTCATCTGAAGTTTATTTTTTGTAATATATACACATACGCACAAATATATAGACATGTATATTTTTAAAGCTATACTAAGCTAATATAAAGGAAAGTGAACAAGGAGCTGAAAAATGAAGTGGTAGCTGGAGAGGATGTGCGACGAGTGACAGGTCTTTCAGACTGTGTTTTAGATGGGGGATTCCATAGCACCTTTGACACTAACATACCTACAGAAGATGGCAAAAAACAAAACTCACATAAACTCCTTACTCAAGAGGACAGACAAGCTCCAAAGCACAAGAGAAAAGGTTTAAGTCCCACTGGATTACATGGGGAAGTTAAAGACAAGACAATCTACAAACACATTTGTAGGGCTGGTAAGGAGGAGGTGAGAGTTCCCTCCAATGGCTATCATTTCTTAATGAAGTATGTGGTGAACACCTAACAGGGGAAGGGGGAAATTGATAGACAACATACAAGTTTTGAAATACGACATCCCAGAGATCTGCTAGGCAGTGCTGTGTGTCCACCTGAGGTTTGTAAATATGAATTTAAGGTGAGTTAGGTTGGCTGTTTTCTCTAGTAGTTACTTGAGCACAGGCACAGAAGTGAATGGCTGGGTTGCCCAGGGTTAGGTCTTACTAGATAAATACAGGTGAGGGAAACAAGGTTGAGTGGAGGGTGTGGACGGAATCGATGTTGCACAAGGAGGGAAGTGAAGATAGGACAATAATGGGAAGAATGTGTGGGGGGAGGGGCTGTGGATGAAGATACAGAGGAGGCAGCTGAGCAAATAAGCAACAAAGCCAGGAGGTGGTGATTGTACAGATATTTGAATTCAAGAGGGCTGCAATTCCTATCAATGGCAGGGGTGCAGGGAGTGACCGAGGTAGGCATCAGGCCTGGAATGGAAGACAAGGAACTAGGGGGTCAGTGTTGAACAGAACCACCCATGGGATGGAGAAAATGGCAGCAGAAGCAGGGGTGGAAGACTCTAAGCCAGGAGATAAGCTGTTCAATGTCTGAACAGTGGTTAGAAGATCAATGCCAACAATGAAGGCGTATATAACCAGAAATAAAAGCTTCAAAAGATGACGTGGTTTGCAGGAGAGCTGAGGAGTAATGGTCTGATTAGCCACAAAGAGGCCACTAAGCAGAAGATGTACACAGCAGTATGGAGGTGGGCACTCCTGCAGTCACGGTGACTAGAAAGCCAGAAAAGGCAGCTTACGAGGCACGAGGAAATTCGTCCTGACTGTCTCTTAGAGGCAGGGGGCACTAGGTCCTAGAGCTGTGTTCCTGAATGCCTGAGTCAGTATTAATTGCAAGCTGGCAATACAGAGGGATTGCTCCCAGTTATTATTAAATACATGCAAGAAGGCACAGCACATGGCCTGGTGCTTACTGAGTGCCCAATGAGAGAGAGAATCTAGGAAAGGTTCCAGCCATTCCCATTTCCTGCTCGTTTAGGACTTGCACCTGAGGGACCCACCAAGAAGCAGTTTTTAACTTCACCACAAGACCCTCCTCCCTCCAGAGAGCCACTCAGACACCAGCACAAGTCATCACCCACCAGGGGTTTAATTCTCCTTGAGAAGAAGGTCAGTTCAGAGAGGGGCCCTGGCTTGTCCCCCATCCTGGGGGGAAGATCTGCAGAGCACCCTGAGAATGTCCAAGCTCAGAGGAGCCAAGAACTAGTCTCTGAGCAAGAGAAGTGGGTCCAGGGACTCAGGCTGCCTCCTCCTCTTCGCTCTCCTCCTCGCTCTCGTGATACTGTCTGCGGTTGGTGTTAACAAAGAGGTCAGAATCATCTTCAGAGCTGGACTCTTCTCCTGATGACTGTGGCTCCGCTGGGAGTTCTGGCTGAGTCTGTCTGCGTGGGGGAAAAGGGACAGGGTTAATCCAATGCCCTCTGGAAAACTAGATCTGCAATCAAGGAGCCCCACAAAGAAGGACCACATGGCCAAGAAAAACTATCTAAAGACTACCTCACACCCCACCTCAAAAGCTTGTTAAAACCACTGGTTTTAATAATAAGGATTCTACAACCACCAACTAACATTAAGTGGACTCACACCACATACCAAGTATTATTTATACTAAGCAATTTTACAAACATTAACTCCTTTAATCCTCACAAAGCTCCCACTTTATAGATGAGGAAATCCAGGCTTAAGAGATCAAGTAACCTGCTTAAAATCATGCATTTACAAGTGACAATGCCATGATCTTAACCCAGGACATCTGACCTTCAAGCCGTACTCATAACCACGTATTTAGGAGCGCCCACCAGGGACACTACATAGGAAGAAAGAACGTTTCTATTTCCCCCTCAAGGCACCAAGGCCTGAACCCGTATTTTTTTGTCGTAAGGCTTCTCACCTATTCCTGTTGTTGTTGTGTTTCTCGGCCACTTCTGAGAAGGCCTCAGGCCTGTGCCAAGAGAAGAGAGCCAGGGTCAGAAAGGACGGAAAACTCGATCAGCAAAAGAGCTGTTTTGAGCTATCCCTGCCTGGGATGCCATGATCTTCCCTCCTCCAATTTCACAGCTAGGAAGTCAGTCTCCCCAGAAATGAGGCAACCAATGACCAAGGGGACTACCCTACCAGAGCCCTTCCTTCTGCAGAGAGCGCACATGGTCTTTGCAGAGCACAAAGGAGATCTCGGCCTTCACTTTTTCTCCCTCTTCAATGGGGTCAACAATGAGGAAGTCCCCTGCAGGTAAGAGAGAACAAAAAACACAGTAGATCCTGCTTGTAGTGGGGAAAGCCAAGCTCACAGGAAATAGCTATCTCCTAGAGGGCTGCCTCTCTCACCTCTCTTGATCCAGATGTTCTTACGGTATTTGGAGGGCATGCTCACCAAGAAGCGCTGCCCTTGGGCTGTCTCCACTTCATGCAGATTGTTCCCTGGGGTCCTGAGTACCTGGTCCAAGAGAGACCAAGAACTAGTCAGCCTCATCAGTCAGCTCAAATATCCAGTAAGCTGTGCTGCACCCTACCCCCATCCTAGGGGCCCAAGGGGAGCAGAAGAATGGGGAGGCAGAGCAACTTGTGCCCAATGCCACTCACCCTCACGATTTGCTGCTGGTCAGAGGGCACCATGTGCTCCCCCAGCACCTCCTTCACCACATGCTTCCTCTTGGTGGCCTGAGACATGCTGGGTCCTGTCCCAGGGGGGTGAGGGATGCAGAGACTGTCAGCTCCTCCTCCTGAGTTTCTTGGATGGCCAGTTCAGAACCTGGGACTGTTCTGAAGATGGAGAGAGACCTTTTACTGAGGAGTGACTGTTTCCTGGTTAAGAACGTGAACTCCAAAACCTAATTACTAGGATTCAAATCCTACCTTGGCTATTTACTAGCTGTTCTTCTCTAGCTTCAGAGACAAATAGTAGCTAACTCCTATCACTGTTAGTAGGATAAAATAATGCAAACTAAGCATTGTGTACAGTGTATATACATAAAGTACAGTGTATGGCACATAAAAACAACTCATGTTAGGGGCGCCTAGGTGGCTCAGTCGGTTAAGCCTCTACCTTTGGCTCAGGTCATGATTCCAGAGTGCGCTCCCTGCTCAGTGGGGAGTCTGCTTCTCCTTCTCCCTCTGCCTCTCCACTTGCTTGTGCTCTCTCTCTAATAAATAAAATCTTAAAAAAAAAAAAAACCCTCACGTTATTCGTACTGGCATAATCACAGAAACTAAATACATGTTCTACAGAAGTCATGCTGGCAATCTCTGGGGAAGGAATGCCTGATAAACTGTATCTTCCTCAACACGTTTGGACATTCTACGTGTAGCACAGCCACACTCCACAGATGCTCAGTTGTTTGTTTGTTTTTAAACACACTACAGTCAGAAGCCAGTTAGGAGACGCAGAGCGATGGTCCAAGCCAGGAACGAGTTAATAAAACATCGGGTAAGCCGGCTTGGTCGGCTGTATCGGCTAGATTTCTGACGTGGGTACTGAGAAGACAAGGACTGGTACCACCGAGGCTGATGGTTTCCAAAAGCAAACTCCGAAGTGTCACCTCTAGCTGCCGTCCCCTGCCCTCCCGCCTCCCTATGTAGAGCAAAGAAAGACGCTCAGAGACCCACACTTACTCTCTGGCCCTCGTCTCCCACGGGCGCTGCCCGAACGACCTCGTTCTCCAGGTTGGACGCTGAAAGCGGCTCGCCCACGACTCACTCCGCAGCTGAGTCAATAAGGACACAGAAAAGGGGCCTGCCGGCGGTCAGGACGCTGGCGTGGACATAGACTCAAGTCCCCTGCGCCTCCGACTCCTACCCGACTCCTCCAGGCCCGTGGCAACGAGGACGACGCGAGCCCTCCCGAGTCTGACCCTTCCGAGCACCGTACTTCCGGCGCTAACTCGGAAGCCTATCGGCCACCTTCCCCTGCCTTGTCCGTCCCTCTAACTCTTCCCCTCGCCGGGTCGGCCAAGGCTAAGTTCTTGAGTTCCCGATGCCGCGTAGCGGGGAATGGAGTTTTCTCGAAGGCCTCAGCTCCCTGAGACCGGACATGCTGCCCGAGAAGCGAGACCATAGAAGGCAGCCGGGCTTCCCGCGAGGCAGCCCGAAAGCGGTGCCTACTAAGGACTCTGTTGAGGTCGAGAGGGCCTCATCTCTATGGCTCTATGCGGCTAGAAGTGCCCAATTCGGAATTTTTTAAAAGGAGGCTCTTGAGGCGACCCGGAAGCGGAAGTGGAAGAAAGTTCTAGTGGGTTGAGGTATCGGTGGGAGCAGCCGGGTGGCGGGAGGAGCCGTTACAGGAGCCGGAGCTGCCGGTGAGCGCTCGCCGCGGAGCAGGGCCCGAGCTGGAGGCGGGCGGGGGTGCGGGGAGGAGGGCAAGAAAGGGGCCTTGGCGCCGTAGCGGGCCAGAGGATGCGCCCTCAGAGAGGGCCCGGGCCGCTGTGCGGGGAGAGGGCGGGGCGCGGCGCGGCGGCGCGTGGAGGGGGCGGAGCGGGGCCTGTGGGCGGGGCGGGGCGGGGCGGGACTCCAAGCAGGGACTCCGAGGGGCTGAAGGAGCAGGTGTGCGCGCTCCGGCCCGCGCGCTCTCGCTCTGTGAGCGGGGCGTGCGGGCGAGCGGGCCCGAGAGACCTTTCCTTTGCCTTTCAGGCGGTGGAGCCGCTCCAGGCGGGTTCAGTGCCTTCTTAGTCCCCCAAGGTCACAGAGGGAGTGACAGCTTCAGGGAGGGCCCCGGCTACCGACTCTGGGAAATCTTCCCACTACCCCGCCTGCGCCACCTGTGCGGGCAGGCTGGTTTTTCCTCTGGGGCAGCACGAAAACCCGGTTCCCGCAGAGAACCATTCTTGTGCGTAGCAGGGAAAAGGCTCTTCTTGGACCTCAGTTCTCACATCCGTGAACTGAGGAGAGTTGAGTTAGCAGCCCTCATGGCTGGTTTCGCTTTCTCTTAACAACATTGCACTGGGCCCTTGGGAGTTCCCGGTTTTCAGCCCTAACTACCTTTTCTTGGGATTCCCAGATTAAGCTGATCAAGATGACAACCTCCCAAAAGCACCGAGACTTCGTGGCAGAGCCCATGGGGGAAAAGCCAGTGGGGAGCCTGGCCGGGATTGGTGAAGTCTTGGGCAAGAAGCTGGAGGAAAGGGGCTTTGACAAGGTGTGGGGTGGCTGCATGCACCTGGGAAGGGCTGGGGGTGGCGGACTACCGTATTTCCTGGCACTTTGGGGTTGAGGAAAGTGAGAGTAGCTGTTGGGGGTGGCCAGTGGCGTGTGATCTGAAGAGACAGCCCCAGCCTGCCCTACTTCCAAGGCTCATGTGCTTTGAATGCCATAAAGTGGCCTCCCTGTTCTTTCTCGGTCCCACAGAGCAATAAGCAGCATGCCCTTTACTTTGCCTGTTTTGCAGGCCTATGTGGTCCTTGGCCAGTTTTTGGTGCTAAAGAAAGACGAAGATCTCTTCCGGGAATGGCTGAAGGACACATGTGGTGCCAATGCCAAGCAGTCCCGGGACTGCTTCGGGTGCCTTCGAGAGTGGTGCGACGCCTTCTTGTGAGGCTCTCTCGGGGAGCCCCCAGTCCCTAGCCCCAGCATTGAGTCTCCAGAGTTTGCAGCCGCATGGGGACTCCTCCCTTGTCCTCTACAAAGGAAGAGATTGCTGTTGTTGTACTCACTTCTGATGTACTTCAAGGTCTTTTGGGAATTCTCTCCCCTCACCATTTCAACTTTTTTGAAATTCTCGCTCTTGCATGCATCTCCCTTCTTCCCCTCCCAGTTTCGTGTCAACAATTATCAGCTTTTCCGAGTGGATTCCTGGCCCTTCCTTCACCCCCTGCCCCCACTGGTCTGTTTTATGCTATTTGGCTCCTTTTTTGGCAGAATAGTCACTGTCCTTGTAAAGTTTTTTAAATCAATAAAGTCAGTGGCTTTCATGACTGGGCTTCATGTGTTGAAAAGCAGGTGGGCTGGGACTTCCCTAGGGACTGACCAGGTCTGCCACACTCCATATCAGTGCAGATCGAAACTGGCAGCTTCCTTCCCACTCTGGAGGGCAGTCACCCTAGCCACATGGGCCTTAGGCGGGTGCCTTGGAGTGTCCCTTAGTAATCTGGCAGAGAGTGTGGGTTGATCCCTTCCTGGGATCTGGGTGGGCTGTGATGTTCCAGATGTCAGCCGAGTCAACAGCTGGGCTAGGCAGCACCTGGTGGAAAAGTCAGTGGGAGTCGGATACCAGGAAGAGGGTGGATCAAATGTGGGTTGGAGTTCACCTGCCAAATGTCATATGCTCACCTGGCCTCTGGGAGGAGTGGGCAGGGCTCTGGTTGTCTGCCTGGCGCTATCTTAGGGAGGCAGAAAGAGCATGGACATCACAGCTAGGGGGGCTCGAGTGAGCTACACTTTTGTTGGGTACGTTTTTGTGCTGGTCTTTGTTGAACACTCAGTATGAACCAGGCTCATGGCTAAGATCTTTGTAAACGTTTTTTTCTCCCACAGTAGTAAGTGATTGTTTTCTCTTTTATAGGTGAGGAAACCAGAGGCTCAGAAAGACTGAGTAATTTGACTGGATTTACTGCTAGGAAGGAGCCAGGTTGGTTCTCAAAATGTAACTCAAAACCCATGTACCTGAGGGCCCTTTGTTCCCTGGTCATGTCACTTGGCCTCTCCGAGCCTCTGTTTCCCCACTTGGAAAATGAGGTGGTAAGATCAGATGAAATGGGGCGCCTGGGTGGCTCAGTTGGTTAAGCTTCTGCCTTCAGCTCAGGTCATGGTCCTGGAGTCCCAAGATTGAGTCCCGCATCGGGCTCCCTGCTCGGCGGGGAGTCTGCTTCTCCCTCTCCCACTCCCTGTTTGTGTTCCCTCTCTCGCTGTGTCTTTCTCTGTCAAATAAATAAATAAAATCTTGAGAAAAAAAAAGATCAGATGAAATGCTAGCTGTGTAGCACCCAGTCCTGCTTGGATTTCATTCCTTCCGCGGAGCATCATTGAGGAACTACTTGCTTACAGAATTTTCCTCAGAGGGTTTACAGTCCGGTGAGGAGAGAATGACAGATATTAAATGCAAAAATTGGGAAACCATGAGGAGTTTCTTGTTATCTCAGAGTAGGGAAAATTTGATAAATAAACTCCATTAATAGAAATTTTGTTTGTCTGGGGCGCCTGGGTGGCTCAGTTGGTTAAGCAACTGCCTTCGGCTCAGGTCGTGATCCTGGAGTCCTGGGATCGAGTCCCTCATCAGGCTCCCTGCTCGGCAGGGAGCCTGCTTCTCCCTCTGACCCTCCCCCCTCTCATGTGCTCTCTCTCTCTCTCTCATTCTCTCTGTCTCAAATAAATAAATAAAATCTTTAAAAAAAAAAAAAAAGAAATTTTGTTTGTCTAAAGAAACCAGGAAGAGGGTGGCGACGCTAACCTAGGGTGGGAAAGGATATTGGCAGTACACATAAGCAACACGGGACTGCATCCAGGGAAGGTACCTATGATGAAGACGAAGCAGACAACACAGTAGAGAGAGTAAAAGACCCATAAGGTGGTCACGAGAGGAATACCCAGATGGTGAATAAGCTCTGGAAATGGTGGTCGGTCACAGCGGTAATCGGAAACGCAAATGAGATGGCATTGTACACACACAGGCAAAAATTCTAAAGTCAAACAATACTAAGTGCTGATAAGGGTATGGAGCAACAGGTTCTGACATCTAGCTGGTGGGAGTGTAAATTGGCCTGAACCCTTGGGGAAACAGTTGGGCGTTTTCTAGTAAAGTTGAAGATAAGACCCGTCCCACGACCTGGTGGTTCCACTCCCGGGGCTGTTTCTAAGGACGTCCGTACACCTGGACCTGAATGCGTGTTCACCGCGGCTTTATTTATAACCCCCCAAGGCTGTCCATACCAGTGAAAACGAACAAATGACAGGTGAATTTCAGGGCTGAGCAAACAAAAGAAAACGTCAAATAGTGTGATTCCATTCACGTTAAGCTGACAAGTGGATTCTTGCTCAGTAATCTCCATTGGTGGTAAAACTAGAAAAAGCAAGGAAATGCTTATTGCAAAAACCAATAGTAGAAAGAAGTGTGATGACTTTTGTGGGAAGGAGGCAGGTGTGAGGAGTAGGGGGCTTGGGGGGCGGGGGTGGCAGTTTCCATGTCTTGACCCTTGTGGTGGAAATACGGGCATTGACTAAGTATCTGCTAACTAAGCAGATAGGTTCTGTGTGCTTTTCTGAATATTAGCTACATCTCCGAATAGTAGAAGGATAAAAAGGAAACCAAAAGTAAAGCCCCAGGAATAGAGCGATGATGTGATTAGTTGGAGATCATGATGGTTATAGTACGAATGAGGGTTCAGGGCAGGGCCGGGTCTGGAAAGTGAGCAGCCGCCCCGGGAGGGTACCAGGTGGCCAGAGCAGGGCCCAGCTTGTGTTACAGACCGCTTCCTGGGAGGGCGCCGGCCCGACTCCCAGACTGAGCTGGTAATTCAGACTGTCCCTAGAGTTTCAGTCTGTTTCTGATGCTTTCCTGGATGGGTCCCGGGTCACCTCAGAGTCCCCCCAGCCTTGACCCTTTGTGTTGTGATGCTGTCACGTGGGCCTGGGCTGCTTAGGCAGGAGCTTGGCGGGCCATGGCCTTCCCCTACCTCAGTCCTGATACTGCCAGACTGTTGCTGGTACTCTTTAGGTAATGGAGACTCCCTCCCCCACGACACCCTTCCGGTGGCTCCTGCCTGTGCTGGTTGTCAGGTTTTGCCTCTCGTGGTTCTGGCACTGGGATCCACCCAGCAGAAGACTGTGGGATGCGCTGCCTGTTTCTTCCTCCCTGTGGGCTCTTCCCTGTGCCGCCCACAGGCCGAAGGAGCGGGAATCTGCTTTCTCATCTCTCGCTTGGGGCTCAGGCAGTGTCTGTGACACGTTAGTGGGTTGAAACCCTTTATCTGGGCCCTTTATTGCATCCCACACAAGTTCCTGTTTCACTCCTAGAGCAGCAGGAGACAAAGGGCATCTAGAATGTACCATGTGACAGTGTGGCTTCAGAGATCCAGCCCCAACTTAGCCTGCAGGACAAAAGGGACCAAGGCCCAGAATGTTGGAGAAAGCAGACCCAAGTGGGGACTCGTGGGAGGTTATTTAAATGTCAGCCCAAGGGGCGCCTGGGTGGCACAGTGGGTTAAGCATCTGACTCTTGGTTTTAGCTCAGGTTGTGATCTCAGCGTCGTGAGATCAAGCCTCGTGAGATCGAGCCCCGCATCGCTCCCCATGTCACTCCCTGCACTTCGTACAGAGTCTGCTTAAGACTGTTTCTCCCTCTCTCTCTGCCCCATCCCCAAAAATAAATAAATCTTAAAAAAAAAAAAAAAAAAAAGTCAGCCTCCAAACTGCTCAACAGGCTGTGCCTGGCCAGGGGACGTGGAAATCAGCAAATACTGACCAGTGTTCCTTCCCTGCTGTACCCAGCCAGAACTTGACCCCTTCAGCCAGTCTAATCATGAGTGCTTGGATCTGGCCCAGAGCTTGGAGTGAACCCAACTCCCATGCTCTGGGGTCCCAAAGGGATCCCGCTGACCCTGGAAGAAAGTAAGGAGAAACTACGGGACAGACCCAAGCTCAAGACACGCCTTCCCACTCTGCCCCAGTAGCAGACCCGATGGTGTGAAAGGCTGAGAGTCTGTGCTCAAGACTATCAACCTCCTTCCTTGTTGCCCCCCTCCCTGCAGGGACCCAGGGCTCTTTCTACTGTCACTCCTGGCCTTGGCTGATAATAGCCTGAAGGAGCCAGCCAGACCTGGTTCTGGTCTCAGTTCCTCCTTGACTTGCTGTGTGACCCGGAGCCACTTGCTCACTGTTCTGAGCCTCATCTCCTCTGCCACCTGGTGCAGGTTTGTAAAGATTCAAGCAGCTAATGAACTAAAGCCCCTGGCACTTAGGAGCACTCCTCCACAGATGGGATTTTTTTTTTTTTTTTTAAAGATTTTACTTATTTATTTGACAGAGAGAGACACAGCGAGATAGGGAACACAAGCAGGGGGAGTGGGAGAGGGAGAAGCAGGCTTCCCACTGAGCAGGGAGCCCGATATGGGGCTCGATCCCAGGACCCTGAGATCATGACCTGAGCCGAAGGCAGACACTTATCAGCTGAGCCACCCAGGCGCCCCCACAGATGGGATTCTTAATCACGGTTGGATCCTTGGATCGCAGCTTTCCTTGCCTTAACGTCTCCTTCCTGGGATGTGGTTAGGAAAAAGGGAGCAGAGCCCTGGGGGAGGGAATATCCGTGGCCCAGCTTTAAGTTTTGGAGAAGAGGGTTCTGTGGGCAGCACAAAAGTCCTGAGTAGCCTCATCCCAGGGTGAAGAGGCTGTCGAGGGCCCACACTGGTCAGCAAGACTCTTTCGGCCAGGGGCAAGAGAGGGGTGCCACGGGCAATCTGGATTGGGATGCCCGGGCCACAGTAAAAATGGAGACCGCGCCCCATGGCCAGTAGGCGTGGCCAACCCTGAGCACATACCTGGCCCAGGCCTCCTTCTGGAAGTCAGAGGGGTCCAAGCAGGATGGAGTCCAGGCTGAGGGCGCTTCTTCAGATGAGACCCACAGCCCTGAGAACATCCTCTTGGAACACCCCTGCGCCCAGGGAGCCTCCCCGTACACAGCCAACCTCATATCCCCATGGAGAGGTCCAGGACTCACCCGCTAGGATGCTGACACGTGGGTGCCACCAGGCTCCACCACTGACACTTTTCCTTTGCCCCCCCCCTCCCCCCCCAGTAAAACAGCTTCTGCCAAGCGGTTGTGAGGATGAGCAAGCGTGTGGAGGCCCCGGTGCAAGGCCCGGCACATAGAAGCCGGTAATTGTTGGTTTCCCTTCCCCATCCGTCTTCGCCCACACTAGCTGTGTGACCTTAGACAAGTGACCTGACCTCTCTGATTAACTTCCTTCATCCAAAAAATGAG